GTTCTGAGAAGTTGCATGGTAGCGTTTACTACAGTTCCTCCGTGCAACATGTAACATGGTGCGGCACCAAGACTCTGGTGCAGTACTGGAGCTAGGACTGACAGTCAGCTGATTTTCAGTCCCAGCTCTGGCACTGTACCAGTCCTAGTCCAAGGACCACATGAGAGGTAGTTCAAGGCTCTGGTACAGTGCCAGTGCTGGCACCCACAACCAGCAAGCTGTGCTGGTATTATCTCCACAGAGTGGTCAAATGATATGATCTAGAAATAGTCCTTGCCCAAAAAGTCCTAACTTTGCTACAACATGATCACACTTAGCACATGTTTTACTGCTTGAATGCATGGACACTCGTGTCTTAAGTGCAGTTAACATGTCATAAGTGTAATTTGTGACCAAGTCCTTAGGCTAGGGACAGAAATTACACATAAACCAGTGTAAGTAATTGGAAACCAATTAAAATCAGAAACAGAACAGAAGTTCAGTGCATATAAACCACTTTCAAAATAGCCAAAACCAGTTGAAGGTAAACCTGGATGACTATAGTATCAGACTTAACTGATTTACGTTAGATCAGTTTATTGAACTTCTGCCACAGATCCCCTCCAGATTAAAGTCAACTCACAGTTCCCCAGCATCCCAGGATGCTTTGCATATCCCCCACAACCCCTCCCCCCCTCCCAGGATGGGTGGGCTAGTCTTGGCCCAAGTTGTCTGCTCTAGCTGAGATGGGAGGCATGCTCTAGCACCCTCCAGCTTCTGACCTGAGCCACTGCAGGCACGTGGCTGCATTTCCAGAATCAAAAGTGAATGTCTGTTCACTTGCTCATCGGTTCAATCTACACAGTTTAGCCTTACCCAGGAAGATTGAATCAATTCAGCCTTGGGCTTTTTGACTATCTGTGCTTAGCCTAGGTGAAAGCCTAGAATGGGGCAAAGCAGTATTATCATATGGTATGAAATCCACCAGAGGGCGCTCAATACCCATGCAATTATCACAGCTGCTCTTGCTTCAGGACCTAGAGGTGCGTTCTCAGGCAGCCGTTCTTAACCTTCTGTGTGTGTGTCCTCACCCACGAAAGCAAAGCTAAAAATACATAAATGTACATACATTATATTTTTGTGTGAGCATTTGTTAATGGGTGCAGGAGGATCTAAGGCAGTCAGAGTGGGACTGGGAGATAAAGTATCCAAGAAAGGAATTCTATTCAAATGCACTTCATGCAGTGAAAAAGATCGAGTCTAATAGCTGTCTAGATACTACAGGCCACCAGCTTTTCCCAAGCCTCAAGGTTCTGCGTGGCATGCTAGACTGACGTGCAGTAGAATATATTTCTTTTCCACCAGCCTTTTTTCTGGAGGCTATAGGAGCAGCTGGGTCAGGGGGAGCTCAGTATTGAGACAAAGAAAGTTACAGGGCAACAGGTTATGTTGCTCTCCTTGCTGCATGCCTGCTAGGACAAACCTACCGACAGCTCTCACAACAAAGCATTATTATGGAAAGTCTGATCACTCAGCAGATAATGAATCTCACTGCTAATGCAACCAGGATCACATGGGAAATGTTAGCAGGGCAGATGAAGAACTCCTGCCTTGTTAATGAGCACTGGGTGATTCCACTCCCTGTCTGCTGCCTCACGTTCCTCATCTGATCAGATACAGCCTTGAAAATATTTGTGTCTTGATGGCCTGAAGACCTCATTATGAAAGGAGCAGGAACCTGAAGGCTTCTCAAGTTCCTGGGACTGCCCTGGGGTGGAATATTAGCCCTAGAGTATATACATTTATGCATACATGTGTGGGGGAAAGGGAGGCAAGGGACAGGTGAGAGACAGCATGACCTAGGTAGGTGCCCTTCTCATTCCAGGTGGAGTAGAGCACCCAGAAATCAAACAGAGGGGCAAAAAGTATACAGGCCAAATTTTGTTCTTCTCACTAACAAAAAGAATAAAATCCAAACTAAAAAAACAGTGTACACCATAGTCAGACTACTAAAATACACACCTGCCTCCTTTGCTTCCCTGGGCTTCTACTGACTCCTGAGAAGCCTGAAAAAATTGCAAAATAGGATTTCTCATTCCTGCCTTCCACGCAGGCTAGGGAATGAAAGAAAAGAGGTAGACCTTTCACTTTTGATTCTGGTTGGTCTCCCTCGTTCACCACCTTCTCATGCACCAGCACCTGCACAGTGGAGAAGAATGTTGCCTTGTCACTCCTCTGGTGTGCATCAGGATGAGTGTCCTCAGTGGCTCTCAATGGTTTTTGTACCAGGATCTATTTGTAAACATTGATGGCCAGTCCTGACCCACTGCCCCTCGCTCCTGACCCACTGCCCCCCGCCCCACAGTGTGTGGGGCGGGTGGTGGGTGGGTGGGGTAGGGAGTGGGTACATAGGGGGCATGGGGAGCCCCAAGCAGCCCCTTGTAAGCTGGAGCTCTGCCAGCCTGAGTCACAGTTTCCCACCTTTTTGTCCTTTAAAGGAGAATCCATTTTTAAAGTTTGCTCATGACCCTTTCATATATTCTTGTGACCCACAGGTTGAGAAACATGGCTCTAGGTGGCTTTTAGGAGGAAGCTACCTAACCAATTTTGTTCACCTATCACACTCCCTGCCATTGCAGGGCACCAGGGAGTTGCAGTGCCCTTGGCTGTCCTTCTCTCTTCCTGCAGCACCAAGCAGGCTTTCTCATCTTGGTGTTGCTGGGAGCTTTGCAACTCTAGTGTGAGAGGGAATGGAGCAGATGCCTCAGGGAACTCTTAATTTGTGTTCTGTGGTTGCTTGAGCACAGGGGACTAGACTCGGTGATTTGAGAGGTCCCTTCCAGTCCTATATGCCTATGATTTCCTAAGAAAAGTGTGATGTTGCTGAGTTTAATTCCTCAGGGGAATTGGTCTCATTACCATGCTCATCATTCAAACCTGAGGATGCTTTCATGCCTGTGAAAAGAATTGCAGTGTTCTGTAGCAACTTAATCAAATGCTACAGTTTACAGAGTTTGAGCCCACAATGGTATGCTGCTCAAGCGTTACCTTCCTTTTTCAGAAGAGCAAGTCAGCAGACAAATGCTACAATGCAAGTGAAAAAAGGCTTCCAGCTACTGAATTAATTTCATCATATCTAGAGAAAACCGATGCATTTCACATGCTCAGCCTCTGCTCGTTTTGGATGCATTCAGCAAAAAAGGAGATAAAGCAGGCCAGACTGCAGGGGAGGTTGTCATTCAGATGACAGCTCTGCCTAAGAAAATGTGCCAATTTAGCAGGATTCTAATAGCATGCTCTTAAAATGGTCTGAAAGTCTTTAGTAAAGACAATTCCTGGATGCAGGTTCTTCATTTTGGCCACTAGAGGTTGCAATGTAACAGGGAATGATCCTTGTTTTCCACTAGGCAAATACTGCTACAGTTCAAGAATGGTGGGAGCCTTCCTGGAGGATCTCTTGTTCTCTTCTTCATCAGGGCTTAATCATTTCCTCACAGACCAAACTTCTGTACTTGTTTGCACCTGATTTACTGCATTTCAGTGCCTCAGAATCAGGCTACATTGCTCTGCCCTGACTCCCTTTCCATTAAACAGACAACTGCCTCCCCTGCTAACTGATTGCCCTTGGTCCTACTGTCAACAGCAACTCATTCATACCTTATCTTTTGTCTGCAGCTTTAATTAACTGCATCAGTTCCTTTCCAGCCTTCCCAGTTCCAGGGTTCCCCCCCCCCACCCCACCCAGATCTCTGAGCCAGTTTCTCATCGAAGTTTAGGGCCCTTCCTTTTCTTGACTGCTAGATAAGAAATATTTGAGTAACGTTTCACAGTGTAAGGTGTATTTTGCACTCTTGTACCTAAGGGGAATCACAGTGTGTTGAACCTGAATTAGGGCATCTTGCAGGGGTCCCTATCTGTTTTCCATGAGGCTGGAATCAAATTCTTCCCTCCTGTTGCTTCTCATTCATAGTTTCACAGTTGGTAGGGTCAGAAGGGACCTGAGCAGATCATCTAGCCCGACCCCCTGCCACGGGCAGGAAAGTATGCTGGTGTCAAATCACTCCAGCCATGTGGCTGTCTAGCCTCCTTTGGAAGACCCCCAGGGTAGGGGCTAGCACCACTTCCCTTGGAAGTTGGTTCCAGCTCCTAGCTTCCCTGACTGTGAAGTAGTGCCTCCTGATATCTAGCCTGAACCTACTCTGAATCAACTTATGGCAGTTATTCCTTGTCATTCCTGATAGTGCTCGGGAGAACAGGGGCTTTCCCATTGCCTGCTGGTCCCCCTTGGCAAGTTTATAGGCAGCCACCAGATCCCCCCTCAGCTTTCTTTTGTGGAGGCTGAACAGGTTCAGGTCCCATAGCCTCTCCTCGTAGGGCTTGCCCTGCTGCCCCCTAATCATGTGAGTGGCCCTCTTCTGGACCCTCTCACTACACCTCTTAATATTACTCCCTCTTACGAAACCAAGCATCAAGCCCTGAGAAGCTGGAGAAATCCATTTTGATTCTGTGAATAAATGAATGAGCACACTGAAGCATGGCCAGAAATAATGGGGGGCTGTTGGTTGAACTCTGACCATGCAAAGGACTGCCCCGCTGCTCCCATTGCCACCGCCACGACAGGCAGCCCTGAAATGCAAAGACCCATAGCAAAATGGAGACGTGAATGCCAAGGATGGCAGTGATCATCCTACAACACCTTGCACAGTGCATAAAGACACGGATATTTCTCCCATCACTGAAAAGCAGCTGCTTCTGGGGTGAAGCGCAGCAGCCATTCTGCATGAAGGCCACTGCTTAGTAGTTTAGGACAGGAAGTGAAGGAGAATCCTTTCCCCAGCTGAAAGGGAAGTGCAATGGTAGGGAAACAACATATAATCCCCTGAAGTTAAATGCAGTCATTTTCTCTCGGGGCCTCACTTTTTTTCCATCTGATCCAAAAACACAGGTGAGTTGAAGATGTGCCCAGGTGGCCAAGTCATCTGCAATCCCCTGCTTAAGCAGCAGGTGGCAAGATGAGATGACACAGTTTGCAATGTTATGGAGAAATCCGAGAGGAGGAGACAGCAGCAATCGGTGCTTCCTGGTCCAGTGTCACGTGTGGGCTGAACTGGACCGAAATGTGGCAGCAAGTCCTTCAGAGTGTCCGGTGAGTGCAGAAGGGTGCAGGAGAGCCCTTTGGGGAGCAGGTGCCATGTCAGCTGGACTCCAGGCAGGGGGAAAAGTCCAAAAGGGGAGTGAGTCGGAGCTGCCAGCATTGATCACGCTGCTGGGGAGTGCTCACTACAGCTGCCATTGTGTCCCTTTGGCAGGGAATGGCTCCCCTGGATGTGATCACGCAGGAGGCTTGGCTCAACTAAAGGGCTAAACCAAGGGGCTGCCTGAGGTGGGTTAGCAGCAGGGTTAAGGGTGTTCAGTGCCAAATCAGCACGGTGCCCTGCTGCGATATTCTGTGCTTCTCGCGAAACCCTATCAGGCATCTGGCACAAATATTTGGGTGTCTGTTGCATAAGCTGCTGAGCCTCCAAGTTGCTGGGGAAAGGCAGAGGCACAGGCTTCCTGTTCCCCCTTGGCAGGCAGAGCTTTTAGTACCCAGCTGTCAGACTCTGGCAGGGGATGCTGCTGAAGTTGCAGCCACAGGGGCCTCCAGAGCTGGTGGGTAAGATGGGAACTGCTCCGTGGTGATGGCTCGTTTTGTTGTGGCTGCCCGGGCTCAGGCACAGGGCAGTCCGTCACACTCCTCCGGGCAACCAGGAATCTTTACTCTCTGTCTCCTCACACGTAGTCACTCTCCCCACAGCTAGTATGGGGAAGCTGGGAGGCAGGGTTTGAAGGGAAAGGACTGTATGCTAAATGTCAGACAGCTCATCTGAAGTATGGGTGAATAGCTTGCTAGAACCTGCCAGGATTATGGCATTTCCTGAGAGAGCCCGCATTTGCAGCACAAGGTTGTAGTCTGATACAGGACTTCTGTCATGCAGCAGGGAGCCTGGAGGCAACAGCCTAGGAGGACGTGGGGCACCTGATTGAAATGGATGTC